CCGAGCTATCATAGTAATAAACTTTATTATGAAGTTTGAATTTGATCAGTTGAAATTTACTTGCGATATCGTGCTGACGTAATGTTGTCTGTTCTCTGAACTTTGTTAATAAGGAAATGAAATAAGTTGTATGTTCCATGGACTTTGTTGATTACGAAATAGAAAGAATGATGCGTGTTCCCTGATTAAGATATGTAAAGAAGGCTGCCTCTTTCATCAATTTGTTGATTATAATATGCAAAGGTTGTCGCTTGTTCCATGAACTTTCTTGATTAAGATATTTAAAGAATATAGTCTGTTCCATGAACTTTTTTTTATTAAGGTATGTGAAGAAAGTCGTCTGTTCCATGTTTTACAATTGCTTTCTTTGAAATATTTGTTTTGTCGTTGCTCGTGTTCATAATAGACCTCTGACGTCGCTGGCGCTTTTGTTAAGTTCTTCAATGGTAAAATAACAACAACGAAAATACCAACACACCAACAAAATTTCAATCAAAACTCAAATTTAATAAACCTGAGATAAACTAAACCGAAAGAAAGACTGACACAGGGACTCCTGAAAAATGCCAAAGAGAATAAGACAAGGTGTTCCGAAACAGTATCTTCTACTTCACCGACAAGACACGCCATTTTAAACTGATCAAACGAAGTTCGTATTGTCGCATTTTCTGAAATCAGAACGACTAAATTGCATGAAGCACGTCCGAGGTCATATCGCACAGGAAAATTGAACAACTCCCATTGAAAACATCATGACAAAAAATTCTAAAATAATAACAAAAAGTATGGAAAAGAATGTCACATCCTTTCAGATACAATGGATTGATATAACACATTGTTAAGCTTCTCATAACATTTCCTTGGAATTAAACCCTCTCGTTATGTAAAAAATTGAAATGGAAACACGCATCAAAATACGAAATAGATAAAAATAGATATTCATGTTAATGAAATAAAAACGTAGACTAAAATGTACATTTTAAGGACGTATTACAACGGCAGGTTGACGGAACAGCACTATCATTAATATCGCCTTTCTCCATTTTTGAGTGATTTCCAACATGATTTTTGTGAACATCCGTGTCAAAGGACATTTCATCGGGCATTCTCCTTAAGACTTTTTATAGTAGGTGTAGAACGTTGATGCGTCGATTAATACAATTGTCCCAAACAAGGCGACTAGGACGCATATCCCTATAATACCGACGGATGTGGCGCTGGTTCTGTTGTCAGTAGCGCTGATACGTTTCCGTCTGGACAAACTGGTGGTGTCCTTAGCTAGCTTAAATTGCTTTTTCAAATTATTTAGCAGTTCCACTTTTTTTCTCCGCTTAATATTGTTGAACCATTTCCCCATTGAGTATTCTTTAAACACGCTGGGACGTACCCTGACTTTAACAGGTTCGTTTTGTGGACAAGCGAAGACGGAATGATCCCGCGACGACCAACTGTATTGTTCAGCGAATTCTCATTACAGAGACAGGTTATATTTCCTTTGATGCTTTCAGTCGAACATTTAGTTCCATCTACTAGGCTAGAGGTGGTGTGTTCTAATCCATCACCCCCACTAGACGTGCCATTTGTAGATCCATGAGTTGATCTGCAGGTTGTTTCTGGAACAATAAATTGACTGATGTTAGAAACATTAAAATAGTACTTCACATCAAAACATCAAATGAATAACTTCCCTTACACTTCACGGAGTATCACTTGTTTTCTTGTCTTAGCTATAACTCAGATACGGATGCATCTCCTCGGCTTCATTAACCCTTAAGGGGCAAGAACTCTCCGTCATTTCATACATCATCACTTTGTAAATTTCAAACCGAAGAACTCATTCTTTCAACCGTACTATTATGAGAAAAATACACGCAAACTCCATTTAGAAAAAGAAGAAGAAATATTTCAGTAAAAGATTCACTTCACATGAAAATATTACAATTTCTGCTCAAGTTGTATTCAGTGAAACTACCAAATTTAGCCTGTTTCATGTGCCCATGAATTTCACTAGATTAACATTGACGTATGAAAAAAAACTTCCTTAACATATTTTGAAAGAGGGACAACCCCAACACATGTTTGATGCAAAACGTTAAATAATAGTAATCAAATGTGCTCAATATTTGCAGAATATCAATAGAGAAAAGATAACGAAAATAGATCGTTATTATCAAATCATGAAAACAGAAAAAAAAAAAAAAATACAAATTTCAAAGATTTATAGATAGACATTTCTATATAGATTATATATATATATATTTTTCTGGAACAAATAGAATATTGACTGACGTTAGAAACATTACAATAGTACTTTATATAAAATCAAATTCGTATCAAAGATATTTAAATGATTTTCCAAATATCAATTGAACAATAAATTGACTGACGTTAGAAACATAATACTAGTGCTTCATTTACAATCAAATTAGTATCAAAGATATTTAAATGTGGCAACAAATTGTCAATAAATTATCACGTGTGACTGAATTATCATCATGAAAACATTGATAAAAGGTTGAAGTGCTTTTCACCTTGTTTTCCAGTAGTAGTAGCCTCGGTTGAAGAGATGGCTGTTTTTTTTTTGTTTCAGTCGTTTGATTCGTTGTCGAAGAAGACTTTTTTTATGTCCTAAATGTTCTTTAGTCTTTAGCTGCAATGCATGAACTTTAACGGGTAAAGTATGTTTATGGTTTAAGTAACTATGGTTACCATATTTATGTATTAGATCATGATTGTATATGTAAAAGTTTCCTCATAAGATTCTGAGTGTTCCACAATTTGCTTATAATCGCGCGAACGCATCTTATAGTCATTGGTCGACATTAATGTCGTAAGTCAGTAATTCGATAATAAGGACATTCTTTACATAGTTAACAATATGAGACCGGCTTGTGCTATCAATGTTTGATAATTGTGATTACCGACATTGAAAAGTATAAAGTATATCATTATAAATGAAGTGAGAAAGCGATAACGAGTTACATAAATCAAAGTGTAGAGGACACTCACTGTGTATGATGTGTATCGAAATAAAGTGATACAGAAAGTGAAATATCTATAGGAATAGCATATAATCTCGTGAGATTGATCCCACTGATTATATACATATTAAATGAAGGTTCAAGATAGATATAGTCATGATAAGATCTTCATATGATCATTATGGTGGAGGAGTGTGATTCTGAAATCTGCACATTTTACATTGTAGTGCACGGTTGTAGGCCACTGAAGGTTTGAATATTTTCTTGTTTTCATGGAAATGGGTTGAGATTTCAACATAGATGACCAGTTATTACAACTGGCTAGTAACCAACCAATTACTTGTTTGTTTATCCAGTAACTTCCGGTTAGCGCCTGATAAGGCTTGCTCCCGTTAGCTCGTGACAATTTTTATAATTTTCACGAATTGGTGAATTTATCCTGGCTGATATTGGCCAGATTATTGTTTAAGTAGTTCTTGTTTATTTTTACGCTCCCACTTACTTGGTGAATAGTATAATCATTTCACATTTTAGATATTTAATTTCCAACACACGGGATCATTACCGTAGATGTGGGACGAAGAGACTCAAATTTCTAACGTATATAGATCATATAGCTTTTTGTGATTTTTCGGCCACTTTTTGACATCTCGCCCACTTAACAAAACATCTAGATAAATATTATATCTTGACTGAATTTATTTTCTCTGTTTAGTTCTAATAACATGTTCTGTTAACTTATAAGATGATACGGACATTTTTTTATTGTATTACATGACTGTGTGGTGATCTTTGCAATATCTTATCGTTATACTGCATAGCTTGAGTAGGTCGCCATCTTTGTTTCGTAGGCTTCCGATAGGTCGTGTGTGTGTTTCCACATTGTCTTACTCTGTGAAGTCTACCTTATTTCATACAGATTGGTGATATCAGCTCTTGTAACATAGTTTATTCAATTTCACTTACTTTAATTTTAATTATGATAGTCAGGACAACATCCCTTTCGTTGTAAACGTACTACGACTCATTCTCGTTATATAGCACTCGACGAGTCATACGTAAATTTCTAATTAAAACGGTATGACACAATTATTTAAAACATTTTGACATTTAAGTAACATTCTTTGATTACATAATATCATATTCTAAAGTAATAATTGAAGAACTCTATTTATTCTTTAATTGACGAGTTTGTCGTTCAACTATATTTCATCGGAAACGACATTTCGTCCACTAATACACTAGGGTAATAACATTGATTATAATAATTTGTTCTCATTTAAGTTTGTGTAATTGATTAAATATGTTACAGTACTGTAGATCTGTTCTCCTGGCACTGAGACCAGTGTGTTTATATAGTGTTAGAAAATGTCTGAATGTTAGACAAACGTCGAATGGGACCAACAATTACGTTCGTACGAGACGAGGCACACGTGCAGGCAGGGGCGCTGTCAGACCGATACATAGTGTGATCGGTATTTCGTGTACCCCTGGCAAAGCAAACAGCAACAGTGGTGTAAATTACAACAGTCTCGTCCAGATAATCACCAAACATGGTATGTCAACATCTCAACCACCCTTGTCTGGACATGCTGCAGCAACAGCAGAGGTATCAGTCATCAGAACCATTGTGCAGCCGCGCTGCGATGTTAACAGCTGGAAACCAATAATATCTATATCGCGCGAGAACTTGGTTGTCATTAAACCAACGACGGAGACTCAGCCAAAGCCCGGCGTCCTGCTTAATTTAGTATCGCTGAATTGTCGCTCGGTGAAGAACAAGTCATTGTCTATCAGTGACATCATTACATCTCGGGATATCGATATTCTAGCGATAACGGAGGCTTGGCTGGGCTCAGCCGTTGATGACCAAATTCTCGCTGAGCTTATACCAACAGGCTATGACATTCTCCACAATGCTAGACAAGGCAGACGTGGTGGCTGTTCTGTCTAAGAAAGGATTGAGTGTGAGAAATCTCAATTCCAATAACGAGGATTCCTATACACACTTTGAGCACATGACGTGTTCCATCACCACTTGTGATACACAATTCAGACTGTGCGTCATATACAGGCCTCCCCCTTCTAAACGGAACGGTCTCCGTAACAAAGTCTTCTTTGATGAATGGTCTTCATATCTCAATCTACAGGTTGTAGCGCCACAGGACCTGATTATCGCTGGCGACCTGAATTTCCACTTCGATGATAACATTAATGTTGATTCCCGACAGTTCGCCGGAATCCTTGACTCCCGGGGGATGATACATGTGACAGAAGCTACCCATTCACATGGTCATACACTAGATGTGATTATCGCAAGGGGAAATACTTCTCTAATCCACGGAGCAATTCTAGTGGCAGATCCATGTCTGAGCGACACTAAGGGAAACCTATCTGGTGATCATCTTGCTGTCTGTGCCACACTAAATTGTGGTAAACCAAAACGTACCAGAAAAGAGGTCAGCTTCCGGAAATTCCGCGAAATTTCTGTACCTGATTTCATCAAAGACATTCAGTCATCTTCAGTCCTTCAGACTACTGAGGGTGGAGTTGACTGTCTTGTTGAAGCATATAACCCTGGTATCGAGGCTCGGATCGAGAAGCATGCACCTCTTCAGACAAAGGTAATTACTGTCAGACCTAACGCGCCTTGGTACAATGAACAACTTCGTGATGCAAAACAATTGCGGAGGAAGGCGGAGAAACGTTGGCGAAAGACCAAACTAACCATCCATCGCCAGATATACAGAGAACATTGCCGGGCAGTCAGTTCACTACTCATTCAACGTAAGAAGGATTATTATTCAGGAAAAATCACAGAATGTGGATCGGATACAAGACAGCTTTTTAGACTCAGCAGAAACCTTATGGGACATACTGGTGAAATCGCCCTACCAAGCTGTTCATCTGAATAAATCTTGTCCAACAAGTTCAGTGATTTTTTTCCATGATAAAATCAACACAATCAGGCAAAAGATTGATGTTGTGAACTCAACTTCCGACACTGACATCTCTGTCATGGATGCCGATATCCAATTCTCTGGCGAACCTTTGACGCAGTTCACTCCAACAACCGAAGAAGAATTGTGCAAGATCATTACAAACTCTCAATCGGAATCCTGTGAGCTGGACCCGCTTCCCACAGTTTTACTGAAGCAATGTCTTGATGCACTGCTCCCCTCGATCACCTTAATCATGAACAAATCATTAGCAGAGTCTAGGGTTCCATTGTGTTTCAAGAAGGCTAATGTAAGACCACTGCTGAAGAAGCCTGGACTGAACAAGGAAGAATTAAAGAACTAACGTCCGGTATCAAATCTCCCTTTCTTATCTAAGATCTTGGAGAAGATTGTGTCCCAGCGACTTGAGGCTCATCTCCATGCTAACAGTCTTCATGACAACTTGCAATCAGCCTATCGCACAGGACATTCCACTGAGACGGACCTACTTCGTGTCTACAGTGATATTGCTGCCGCTCTGGATAACAAGTGTAGAGCGGTTCTTATCATGCTTGATCTGTTTGCTGCATTTGATGTCATTGACCATGGCACACTGTTCAAGCGTCTGGAGTACTCTTATGTGGTGACTGGTGATGCATTACGCTGGACCCAGTCTTATTTGAATAAACGACGACAGTGCGTTGCTATTGGATCAACTGTTTCAGACAGCAAAACCTTAGACTTCGGAGTTCCTCAGGGGTCCGTTCTGGGACCTAGAAAATACTGTCTTTATTCGAAACCAATCGGGGAGATTTGTCGTCGTCATAACCTTCAGTACCATTGTTATGCCGACGACACACAAATCTACATGGTTATCAGACCTCAAGACAACTGGGACATAATAGTAGCAAGTCTTGAAGCCTGTCTAAATGACATCAGTGCTTGGATGAACTCAAATATGCTCAAGCTCAATCAGGAAAAGACGGAACTGATCGTCTTTTCCCACAAGTGTCAACACACTAAAGGTCTCCAGTAAAAGTTCGGTGCCCAAACTATTGAGGCCGTCCAAGCTGTGAGAAACCTTGGTGTGCATTTTGATAGCTCTCTGAACATGGCGAAACAGATAAACTCAATTGCCAGTTCCTGTTATCACCAAATCAGAAACATTGGGTGTATCCGTCAGTTCATCACCACAGATGCATGCAAGACATTGGTACATTCTCTTGTTACTTTTAGGTTAGATTACGGTAACGCGTTACTCGTTGGTGTATCTGATACACTAATGAGCCGCCTGCAGAGGGTACAGAACACCGCCGCACGCCTAGTTACCCGTACCCGAAAGAGGGACCACATTACACCAGTCCTTTACTTATTGAATTGGCTGCCCGTGCGATTCCGGTCACAGTACAAAATTTTGATGTATACATACAAGGCAATAAATGGAACAGCTCCTGAATATTTGCAGGAACTTGTTACCGTTTATCGGCCGTCACGATCACTACGATCGGAGATAGAATCCTTGTTGTGCGTTCCAAATTCTCGGACTGTGACTTATGGTAACCGGTGCTTTGGAAAGGTAGCGGCCACTTTGTGGAACAGCTTACCATCTGCTACTAGAAAGTCAAAATCCCTGGCCAAATTCAAGAGGGATATTAAAACCCACCTGTTTACGTCTGCATTTTAGACTCTCACGCAGACGTCCTGTATATACATACTTTCACCACTACTTACATGATTTGGTTTCTGTGTTACATATGTTGATTACTGTGTTATACATGTTCTATAAATTTTGTAGTAAGAATATTATGTAATTGTGAAGCGCATTAGAGTATTTTTTTCAAAATAGATAGTGCGCTATATAAATGTTGTATATTATTATTAAACTGCTGATTTTTTTTATTCTTTTAAATTATCTTACACAATAGTGACTATTACCATTTCATCAGTTCATAGCTTGTTTGAGCATTGCACATTATTAGGTATCCAATACAAAGTGTTCTAAACTAATGAGCCCTACTAGTACTAAACGTTATAGAAGCTGAGGGCAGACATGGACACGTTTCTGGCCTTAGCTAGTGGGGGTTATTCTTTAGTCTCGTGGTAGAGTGTCTGGCTCGAGACCAAAGCGTCATCATAACCTCACCAGAATCATTAATATTGGCGCATGATAAAGACGAATACAAGCTATAGGTCGAATTCAAACCCCAGCAGCTCAGAGCTGTGTTTACCATGACTTCTTTCCATTACATCTGTATGTATTAATTATTGCATAAGATCTATATATATATATTCATTTCTGAGTCAAAATGCGAACCAAACATGCCTTCATATCCCAGATACAATCAACAACGACTGCACAATAGGCTTCATTTCAACGTAAAACGAGTTGATAAAAATTTCCTCGCGATTGTACGCATGCGAAATTATCACAGGAATGTATAGAGTATACTCTCTTTACAAGACAGATATCACATGGTATAAGGAAAAAACATATAGGCTTATTAGTTGTCCAACCCTTAAAGCGGCTATTACCTTACATTTCAACATCAGGAAATGGAGAATTCGGCTTATAAATGATAAAATATGTTCATAATAAAGCAATACACGCGCCTATAACGTCAAATTTGTTGTTTTTGGCGTCGGAATATTGTTTATCTTGACTATTATATGTAAACATGTTCACGCTCGGTTGATTACGAAGAAAGCCGAGTGGGTCACATGGCTTGTAATGTGACAATGTCATTTACTTCCGCCTCAAAGAGAAAATGGATTACGAGGTAAACAAACCGCACATGTCTTATGTATGACAGTTGCTTTTACGCCTTCCTGCTTATTCTTGTTTGCAGTAAATTATTCTATAGTGTTATAATATATCATTTTTAACAATCAATCTTAATAATTCGTTTCGTTTTGGCTTTTTGGTGCGAGAAATATCTATGTCAATCGCGGGCGCTAAACTTCTTTACATATCTTAATCAGGAAGCACGCATCATTCTTTCTATTTCCTTATCAACTAAGTTCATGTAACATACAACTTTTTTCATTTTCTTATTAACAAAGTTCAGGGAACAGACAACATTCTGTCAGCTCGATATCGCAAGTATATTTCAACTGATCAAATTCAAACTTCATAATAAAGTTTATTACTACGATAGCTCGGATCACATCGATGCCTGCAATTCTCGGACCGAAACGTACGGATTTATGACCCTTTATCCAATTACAGAAACATTGTCCACTCAATACCCATTCCCATATACAATTGAATCCCCATTTTCACACAGATCAGGTGAAGTTGGAATAACCAGACTACATATACAACATGGGTCTGCGACATCTCTTGCCGCTCTCACAGAATATATATCTAATACACGGGACTGTGACATCTCTTGTCTCTCTAACATAATATATATCTACTACAGGAGACTGTGACATCTCTTGTCTCTCTAACAGTATATATATCTAATACACGGGACTGTGACATCTCTTGTCTCTCTAGCATAATATATATCTACTACAGGGGTCTGCGACATCTCTTGCCGCTCTCACAGAATATATATCTAATACACGGGACTGTGACATCTCTTGTCTCTCTAACATAATATATATCTACTACAGGAGACTGTGACATCTCTTGTCTCTCTAACAGTATATATATCTAATACACGGGACTGTGACATCTCTTGTCTCTCTAGCATAATATATATCTACTACAGGGGACTGTGACATCTCTTGTCTCTCTAACAGAATCCGCATCTACTACAGAGGACTGACATCTCTTGTCTCTCTCACAGAATACATATCTACTACAGGGGACATTGACATCTCTTGTCTCTCTAACAGAATACATATCTACTACAGGGATATCTACTACAGGGGACTTTGACATCTCTTGTCTATCACAGAATACATATCTACTACAGTGGACTGTGACATCTCTTCTCCCTCTTACAGAATACTTATCTACTACAGGGGACTGTGACATCTTTTCTCCCTCTCACAGAATTCATATCTA